GAATCAGGAGCTTAAGACCAGCCTCAGCAAAATAAGCAAAATAAGTTGGAGGCAAACCTGGGCTATATGAGACACTGTCTCAGGAGGAAAAAAAAATACAGGCATTGTAGCTCATACCTCTCTAATCCCAGAGCATGGGAGGCAGAGGAAAGAGGATCATTTAAAGTTTGAGGCCAGTCTGGCCTATGTAGTTTATTTAGGCTAGCCAGAGCTGCATAGTAAGACCCTATCTCACACTCTATCCCCAAGACGAGATTTATAATAACTGCCACACTGGGTTAGATGCCCAGTGTAGTTTTTGAAACATAGATATTAGTTAATAAATGTTAACCATTGATTTTACTTACAAGGAAGTGAGCTAACAAATGGATTCATTACAGTTCAAGGTGATGGATATTATTCTAGATGGGAAGAGACCTGTCCAGGCAGTCTAGCAGAAGAGATTAACTTTTCTGAAAATACCTAGGAAAACCCAGAGGAGGTGATTATTGAAGAATCATAGTTTTCTCATAGCACATGGGAGAAAGTATTCTAGCTGGAAGAAAGAACAACCATAAAGACACAAAGTTACAGAGAACCTGACCCACTCAAGAGCAGGGAGATGAGATACATTTAGTTCGGGGACTTAGGATCCATGGAAAGAGGCTGCAGTTCAGGTCAGACTGGATTTGCTGAGTCAAATCAACAGGAAAGAAGGGACATGATTGAGCACCTACTGTATGCTCTGTGTTGGGTGGCCATTAACCTACATTTAACTCTGATTTTTGTTAGCTGTAGAGATCAAGCCTTTATTGCAAGACAGGGATGGGGACGTTTCTGCTGGCCTTTCAGTTCCTTTAGTCCTCTGATGGCAGACTGGGCCATGACAGAAGTGATGCTGTGGGTGGGAGTTCCCAGCAACCCCTGTTTTTACAGAGGAACTGCAGTGACCCAGCCCATGTCTGCATCTTGATTTTGCTACAGAAGAAGCATGTATATTTGGTGTACTGGTGGATTTCAATTTTCTCCACCACATTTTCTGCATTTTCTGGAAGGAGGCACTATAGTGGGTCTGGCATTTAGTGACCATGTTGGCCTTTCAGTTTATCCATGTCTCTGTGATGTAGGTCCAAGCCTACATCAGAGCTGAAGTCTGTTTTTTTGGGGGGGGCAGTTTTTTTTTCTGTAAGCATATTAGTGAATGGGAGAACCTTTTAAATCAGCAGTGAAATACTGAATGTTAGTTTATTTAACCTTTAGGATAAAGTCTGTGGCAGCATAGAAGGCTAGGCTAGAGAGAGGAGAGAATAGACCTATGGCAAAGTACTGTAGTAAGAGAACTACAGACTAGCCTGGTCTATAGAGCGAGTTCCAGGACAGCCTCCAAAGCCACAGAGAAACCCTGTCTCAAAAAACCAAAAAAAAAAAAAAAAAAAAAAGAGAACTACAGCCTTTAGACAAGAGGGTTTCATGGAGAGGTGGAGAAAGGCCAGTGGCAGCTCTCTCTCTCTCTCTCTCTCTCTCTCTAAATATATATATATATATATATATATATATATATATATTTAATTTTTTAAAATGAGATGAGCCAAATAGACCAGGCTAGCATCAAACTGTTCTCCTGCCTCAGTTTACAAGTGCTGGGGATATAGCCATATACCAACCACCATTCTGGACTTGAACAGGGTTTTAAAGATGGAGCGGATGGCCAGGCAGTGGTGGCACACCCCTTTAATCCCAGCACTCAGGAGGCAGAGGCAGGCGCATCTCCATGAGTTTGAGGCCAGGCCGGTCTACAAAGCTACCTGTCTTGAAAAACAAACAAACAAACAAGATGGAACAGATGGGTTCGTGGGGGGTTATGAGGTGACGGAAGATCTACTCAGGGAGGGCAGGGCTGGAGTGGTTAGATGAAGCTGTGCTGCAGGAGACAAAATCGTGCCAGTTGGCATAGTGCTGAGTCACTCAGGTTATTTTGACCTGAGTGTTCTGTGCTCCCTCCCCAGTGCGCGCGAGCGCGAGCGTGTGTGTGTGTGTGTGTGTGTGTGTGTGTGTGTGTGTGTGTGTGTGTGTGTGTGTCTCCCAGTGTTGGAGACCAAACTCAAGAACTCTGCCACTAAGCTGAATCTTCCTTTTTTTTTTTTTTTTTTGATTTTTTGTTTTGAGGTAGGGTCTTCACTATGTAGCTCTGACTGTCCTGGAACTCTTTATGTAGACTAGGCAAGTTTCCTTAAATTCACAGATATCTGCCTTAGTGCTGGGATTAAAGGTGTATGCCTAAAACATCAGACAATAACAAAAGGGCAATGAATATATTGTGTTTTTTCAGTAGGAAATCATTAAGCAAATATTAAACTACATTATCAGGAGCTAGTCAACTGCATGAACTATCAAGCTCAAAAAGAATTAGGTAATATATGGGATATCCTGCAGTGATGATGAATGCTTGTGCTTTCCCTCCCTACAATTCCCTATGTCAATATAACAGTTTCCATGGGGGGGCGTGGATCTCCTGGGCAATGGAGACATAAGTCCATCATTAGCAACCCTACCTGGAGGCACTCACTTCTTACTTTGAGAATAGGTATTGGCTGAGGAAGTAGCTCAGTGGTAGAACATATGTTTAGCATGTTCAAATTCCTGTGGTTTTTTTTTTTTTTTTTGGTTTTACCAGACAGGGTTTGTCTGTAGCTTTGGAGGCTGTCCTGGAACTCACTTTGTAGACCAGGTTGGCCTCAAACTCACAGAGATCCACCTACCTCTGCCTTCCGAGTGCTGGGATTAAAGGCATGCGCCACCAACGCCCGGCTAAATTCCTGGGTTTTATTCCAAACATTACACACCCATAAAGATGGATCTGAGGTGGTATCTGAGGTCCCAATCTGGAGGCTTTGGAAAGGTTTCGGGCATTGGGAAGCTATTAGTAGATGTGAGAAAAAGTGTGGGCTGTCTATTTCCTGGGGCCCAGGATTCATAGTCTCCATCAGTCTTCCAAAAGGATCCCTGACCCAGGAAAGGTTGAGTCATTGATTTTTTTCTCACTAGAAATTAATAACAATATCTACCTTTAGGGACAAGGACTGATAGAGGAAGGAGAAGATTTTTATTAAAAAAATCTCAACCTAGCTGGGTAGTGGGGAATGTCAGAAATCTCAGGCCACTCAGGAGGGAGAGGCTAGAAAATCTAGGAGATCCTGTCTCAAGAATTCAAGTGATAGCAATAATAAGGAAGACACAAATGTCAAGCTTCTTAAACTGTTTAGGTATGTATTATCTGTGTTAAAAAAAGTTATTGGGGTTATCTGTGTGGTGAGATAACAACCCTTTTTAGATTTTATCTTTATCCCTCTTTGTGTTAAACACAGGCAATACAAACACGATTGATACATTTGTAAGCCTGCATCATCACATACACATACAAATCTCTGCACTATGCAAAGTTCATCCTTTATTACATAAAGCAAAGCTTATCCAAATACCACCAACGGCCAGTTTCAACTCAGTAAAATCTGCACACCCAACAGACAAGTTGGGAAAGACATCTTCAAGAGCTTCAAGGCTAAATGGGTATTATCCTTTACCCCTGCCACCTCAGTCTCCCCCACCCCCACCCCACCCCCGTTTTTTGAGACAATGTTTCTCTGTGTAGCTTTGACTGTCCTGGAACTCCCTCTGTAGACCAGGTTGGCCTCCAACTCAGAGAGAGAGATCCACCTGCTTCTGCCTCCTGAGTGCTGGGGTTACAGTTGTGCACCACCACTGCCTGGTGGAAGAATGTCTCAGAACTATTTGTCTCAATTGGACATTTAAGCTTAATGGCAAAAAATTAATTAATTATAACAATGAATCCTAAAGGCAAGGAGATATTTTATGGGCCTTTTGTGTATGTGTTAGTTTTAGTTTTAAAAAGCAGTATCTAATTTAAAAATTGTTTAACGTATATGGATGTTTTGTCCGCATGAATGTTTGTGCACCATGCGTGTTCCCTGGTGCCAGCAGAAGTTTGAGGAGGGCACAGATCCCCTGGGACTAGAGTTGCAGATGGTTGAGAGCCACCATGTCGGTGCTTGGATTTGAATCTGAATCTTCCAAGACCAGCTGGTGCTCTGTAACTGTTGAGGAATCCCTCCAGCCACTAAAATCAGAATCTTTTAATGGAAACAAATTGATCAAATCTCTTCTTACAGAATTTCAAGAGTCTATATAACACAGTAATAAAACAACACAAAACTCAGACACGTGGAAATGGCAAATACTGTGTATTTGAGTCAGCTGTCATTCTGTGTGCATTCTCCATTTCTGCGATCTGACCCATAAGCCTTGCTGTTGAGTTTCGTGATTGAAGCGATGGAACACAACACTGGGTTATATTCACTATTCTCCCCCACGCAATCTAGTAATTTCTCTGTTTTCACGTCATATTTCCGGGTGTATGTCCAGACTCACGCAGAAATTGAAGTTCAGAGTAGTCAAGAGCCTCCCATGTTCTTTTTTGATGTCCCCAGAAACCCAAATACATTATGTGGGGTGATACCCGGAGACCGCCTAACTGGCTGTTTCCCACGTGGTAAGAGGCTCACACTCTCGCCCCCACGTGGTGCCAAGGGCCGGGAAAAGGGAGAGCGGGCAGAGCGAGCCGTATCAGGGCATTTAAAGTGTCTTGACGTCACGCACTGCCAGGAACTCAGCTGAGTTTTCAGCAGGACATTCCACTAATGTCTCCTCCCTCCCCCCGAGCTTTTGTGAGCTAGGCCTCCGCTCTTCCCTTGATTGCGGAGGGAGGAGCACGAAGCTCTCGGAACAGCCAGCACAGGGAGGCGTGCCCAGACGTCTCCCGACCCCACCTTCTGTCCTAGAGGCGCTTCTCATTGGTCAGAGGGCGGGGCTTCGGAAGCGCTGCTCTCGCCTTGAGGCCTCAGGGTGGCCTAGCCAGCTGGCCGTTCTTTAATTATGCATGGAGGCGTGTCTTGGCCAGTTGGGAGCTGGGTGGGGATTGGCTGGAGGGGCTGTAATTCAGCGGTTTCCGGAGCTGCAGTGTAGACAGGGAGGGGGAACCTGGGGTTCCGACGTCGCCGCGGAGGGAACGAGCCCTAACCGGATCTCTGAGGCACAACCCGGCTCGGTGTCGCCTGACCGCGTAGGCTAAGAGAGGCCAGGCGGCCCTCGGGAGCCCAGTTGCTCGCCTCTGGAGCCAGCGCAGTCCTGCCAGTCGGGCCTCAGCCCGGGAGACAGGTGAAGGGGGTGCAGGGTGGGGCCACCTCCCCGACGGCATGCCAGCTGGGGAACACCGCGGGGCGTCGCGCGGTTGCGGCTTTAGGGGTGCCTAGAGCTGTGAATGGACACTTAAGTGAGGCGGGAGGATAGGAGGAGACACAGAGAGAGGGTCGCTCGGGAGGGACTGCTCCACCGATGACAGGAGCCGGCCTGGGAAGGGAAGGGGCGCTGGAAGTTTCGAGGGGGAGATGCGGAGGGAGAGTGAGGAGTTCCGGGGATGGAACCGTGGGGCGAGGGCATTCTAGGCTGAGGGTGACAGACGTGAACTTCGGCCTTCCAATGCCTGCTCCCGGAGGCTAGGGACATTCGGGCCACCGGAGCCACTGTCACGCCGGCGGAGATCGTTGGGGTGGGGGAGCTGGAAAGAGCCTCCTTTCCGCCCCCGTGCTGGGCCTGGCGGCTCGGTGCTGAGCCGCTTTCTTCGCCTTGTCCTGCTTCTGCTCCTTCAGTAGCCAGCGGTACCTCTTAGGAGGTGGGAACTGGCGTACCCACACAGCCTCTTGGGCTGGCTAGTTGTGGCTACGATTTTTTTTTTCATAAGAATCATATTTCCTTTAGGAAATTGACAAACTTGTGTTCTTTCTAAAATTTCACCAACCACTTTCTGTGTTAAACTATGCTTCCCCTCACCTTGTTAAAAACATTTTTTTCTTTTTTTAATTCAAAATAAATCCCTGGCCAAACCAGCTCTAAAGAGGGGCAAACCTCTTTCCTCTTTGACATTGTTCTCTCATAAACACCTGGTAAACTCGACTAGACAATAAATAATTGAGCCATTGCGTTTACTGGATTGTGGTGTTGCTTAATTGCACAGGACAGAATGAGCCAATCAAGAGTGGGAGTTTTCTGTCTCAGAGCCAAGCTCTTGGGTAAATGCATAAGATAGGGAAACAAAGACTGGTTGGCCTTGACTGAGCTCTGTGTAAACTTTACCTGTTGGGTGTGTGGCTGTTCCTTAGTAAGTTAGCAAGTTAGCAAGTTCAGACAGTCACTGAAGTCACTTTACTTACCTAGTCCACATCACTCTATTATATCAATAGATATGTGTGTTTATATAATCAGTGGTTAGTCATTTTTCTTATTCAAAATGTATATGGTCTATATCTGCTGTTTTCTACATTAAAGGACTTATTTACTCTATGAATTCACTGTAAATGCTGGGCTGGCAGGTAAAGCATTGATTTGAATTTATCAAACAATAACTCATCTCCACCTATGTGGAATTTGACTGTAGGTCTTGAGCCAGCCATTTTCTTCTCTTTATATTAAATAATGTCCATGTTCCTTGAGGAAAAATGTTTGTTTCATTATTGTATGTGCCAGACCAGAACACTAGCAGAATTTCTTTTTAGATTTTTACTTACCTTCATTTTATGTACATGGGTATTTTGCCTGTATGTATGTGTGTGTACATGTGTGTGCAGTGCCCATGGAGGCCAGAAGAGAACATTGGATCCTCTGGAACTAGAGTTACAGATAGTGACAACGTGTGGGTTATGGGAATCAAACCCAGGGCTTTTGGAAAGAAATTCTGGGCTAGTAACAGTGAAGAAAGTTGGAATGGTTGTCTGTTCGCACACTCACCACAAAGAAACGTTAGCAGATTCATGAATCTTTTATTTTCATATGTAGTTCATGGGGGACAAATAACCACTTAGAAATAATCCACAGCCATGAGGATCTTCAAAGGGCCTGTAAGGTAGGTTGTTCACAGACTGTTAACCTCATTTTGTAGATAAGGAAATTGAGGCCAAAAGGACAAGACACTTGCCTAAGGCATAGTGTGTTACAACAGTGGAAATACTTAGTGACTGCTAGCTAGCTTTAGCTTTGACTGTCCTGGAACTGGCTTTGTAGACCAGGCTGGCCTTGAACTCACGGAGATCCACCTTCACAGTGCTGGGATTAAGGGCAAGCATCACCACCACCCACCCTTGTTCTATTTCTTCCTTGGGAAGTATTTTTTTTTCTTGTTAGCATGATTTACTATCAAACTGAAGCTATTTATTTGTTTGTTTGTTTTTCAAGACAGGGTTTCTCAGTATAGCCTTGAATGTAGACCAGGCTGGCCTCAGACTCAGAGACCTGCCTACCTCTGCTGCTCCCCCCACCCTCACCCACACATAGTGCTAGATTAAAGGCAAGTGCCACAACCACCTGGCAAAACACCAGCTATTTATTAATGGATATGTTTAGGCAAATTTTAGGTAAAGGGTAGCTGTGACCTCAATGACATTTAAGCCAGAGAGCCTTGTGGTCAGTGATCATTTCTGTCTGCCGAAAGTTCCTTTGCTTTTGGCTTCTGTATGTCTTGACATTCAAATGTGAGAAGGGCAGAGGTGGTGAACACCATTACCAAGCCAGCAGCCTTTTACTAATGCTTTCTGAGCCGCTGTACAGCTCAGTGGATATGTACTCTCTTTGTGGAAACTGCCGGCGAAAGTAGGATGTGTCTTGTTTGTAGAATTTGCAGTGTATTGGAGTAACTTGATAAATGCTTTATCATCCAATACAGCAAGTTAATGTCATTAAAGAGAGTAAAGCACCACACCTGTGTCTCCCTTCCTTCCCTACTTTTCTTTCCCCCTCCCTCTCCTTCCCTCCCTTTTTGTTGGGATGGAACCTATCTTGCTAAGCAAGTGCTCTGCCATAGAACTCATTTTTTTTAAAGTTCTAGACAAACTAATCATCTAAAAAGTGCTTGAGGGAGCCGGGCGTTGGTGGCGCACGCCTTTAATCCCAGCACTCGGGAGGCAGAGGCAGGCGGATCTCTGTGAGTTAGAGACCAGCTTGGACTACCAAGTGAGTTCCAGGACAGCCTCCAAAGCCACAGAGAAACCCTGTCTCGAAAAACCAAAAAAAAAAAAAAAAAAAAAAAAGTGCTTGAGGGACAACCTCAAGTCTTGAAGGACTCCCAGTGTTGTGCATCAGCCTTAATGAGATACAGTAGGAGGACATAGCCTTGTCTTTGGTGGTGAAAAGAATTTCCTGCTTGGGAGCCTTGGCCTACTGAGGCACAGATAGTTGGAATGACAGATTGTATTTGGTGGCAAATTCTTGGGAATAACTTGTTTAAAGGAGTAAGATTTGGAAGAATGAATTTCTACTATGGTTCTCATTTTTAATGTAATGTTATGTTTGGTGTAACTTTATTTAGGTTAGCAAACACACACACACACACACTGTACACACATACATACATACACCGAGGAACATACACACACACATATATGTACAGAGGTAGAAAGATGAGCCATGCTGGTTGCATATGTCCTTAATCCAAGCACTTGGGAGGCAGAGGCAAGTTGGATCTCTAAGAATTCAAGGCCAGACTGGTCTACATGTGAGTTCCAGGTCAGTGGTGGCCACATAGTGAAACCCTGACTCAAACAAACAAACAAACAAACAAAAAAGCAAAACATTATTAAGCAGAGGCTGGTCGTGATGTTTCATGTCTGTCATTTTAGTGTGTGGCTGAGTTCTGAGGCAAGAAAGTTGCTGAGTTTGAAGATAGCCTGGGCTTCATTGTGAGTTCTAGACCTGCTTGGTATAGAGAATAAGACCCTGTTTCAAAAACCAAAACCAAAAAAGGCTAGGTAGATCCAGGTATGATGGTATATACTTGTAATTTAAGTATTTGGGAGACAGAGGCAGGAGGACCAGTACCAATTAAAGGTCAGTTTGTCCTGCATAACATAGCAAAACCCTGTTTCAAGAAAAGAACACTCCCACAGAGGCAGAAGGATTGCTGCAAGTTTGAGGCTAACCATGTCTACATACTGAGTTCCAGGCCAGCCAGGGCTCTGTAGAGAAACCTGTGTTTATGAACCAAACCAGAACAAAACAGCAACAAAAAGTCAAAGCTAGGCAGGATCCAAGGAGAATGAATATTTGAAATCTCACTCCTGTTTTTTTACAACTGAAGAAGTAGTGGGTAATAGTTTTTTTTTTTTTTGTAGTCCCCCACCCCATGGGGACTAGGACATGTGCTATTGTAATTGTAGAATTAGGACTGGACAGTAGCTTAAGACTAAGCTACAAGAGGCAAAGAAATCTGGGTTTGGATCCTGGATTATTGGCTGCTTCCTGGTCAGAATATAAGCCTCAGTTTTCTGATCTGAGGAAAGGAAGATGATGAGACAAGCTTGGTGGCACGTGCCTAAAATCCCAGCAGTTAGGAGGCTGAGGCAGGAACACCTTGAGTTCTGGGTCAGTTTGAGCTATACAGGGAGACCCTGTCTCAAAATGAAGCGAATTCATTAGGATGTTTACAGCATGCTGGTCCATAGCAAGCGCCCTGAGTATCTAAGTTCTTAACAAAGGTCCAAGAAAAGAGAGGTTCGTTCCCTTCAGGGGCAAGAAGAGGGTGCAGGAGACCTCCTGAGTACCTGTGGGATGAATAGGAATTTCTGCAGAGCAGTAAACAGTTGCATTCAAGGTGGAAGATGCATGGATGTGCAGAGCTTAAAACAGCACAGTGTATTGGGGGCTGTAAGTGGACGCTCTCAATTTAGGAGAAGGAAACAGGAAGGAGGCCACATCTCTTATTCCCTTGCCTTGTTCATAATTGCCTTGAAATGTCCTTCTAGTAAGTTGTGTTCTCATAAAAGTAATATATGCTGTCGTAAAAAGCTAAACTTGTTTTCCTGTTAATAGTTGAACGTGTGTTTCTCCAGATACTTTTTTAGTTTACCCGTTTATCTTGGGTCTACTCATTGAAAGTAATTTTAACAGCTCATCAAAATAATATGGAAGGCAAATCTACCCCCAGAAGAAAATGATATTTAGACCCTGACTTTCCTTCCTGTTAGCTACTATATCTATGGTAATGAAAGACTTTCCTAACCACTGAACAATTTGCCTGACTTTTGACCTTTTAATTACAAATCAGTTAAACTCTTTTGAGCCTCCTAAGGTAACCATCATGGTGTCAAGCACTTGGGTAATGTGCTTGAGGG